TTTTTCTATATAAAATTTAATAAAATGCGCACACATGAAACCCATCTCTACTTATTATACATATATGAATATTATAAGGCTCCAGCCCTACGAAACGGCGCCGTTTTACTAGTATATAGTTAACCAATATTTTGATTGGACGACTAATAAATGTAGTTTATTACAGTATATATTATACGACTAGTCAACTAGTCATAAAATTAGTCGACTGACTAGTCAACTAAAAAGTTTTAGTCGATTCGAATCACTATTGTAGGTAAGTTCAGGATGCTGCGGATTTACTTAAGTGGATTTTGACTTAGTGTAGTTCTGTAGTTATAATCGTTTACTTGCATATTGAATTTCTGTAATCGATTTAAGTTTTTTAATAGTCGACTAAGCCGGCTAAGCCGATTTTATAATGTCGACTTAAGTTGTTCTCAAGCACCTCTTTCCATGTTGAAATGATGAATAATGATTGCGATCAATGCCAGAGAAATCTATATCCCAAAGCTACTATCATTGCCAATATCTTCAAAAAGAAAAAATCAATTACCCATTCAATTTAATTTCCTAAAATTTTAGCTATCAGTACCCAAAATTTTTCAGCATTTGATTTGTAATTTTATTTTTTTATATAGTATTTTTTACAAAATTATTTATTAGTTTTTTAAAATAATGCGTCATAAAAAAGTTGACAATATACTATGTAATTGTTGAGTATTTGTTCTCGTACTATATATCTTAAAAAATATTTTTAAAAACAAATATTTTACTAAATAGATATTTTACTAAAATCAATATTCTAAATTTTATTATTGATATATATTTTTTAAAGATCAAAATTTGTCGGCTAGGCGATACAATATGATATCAAACTAATTTCATTAAGTCGTAAACTTATGATCATTACAACACTAAACACAAAAATTTTATATTAGCAAGATGGTTGAAAATAAAATAAGCTATTTGCAAAGACGATGTCGGTCCATTATGCTGTAAAACATGTTATAAAGGTAATCATTAAAAACCATAATGGTAATGCTCATCATCTTCACGTCGAATATTTTCAAACAAACCGTACAACACCCGAAGATGCATGGTAATAGTTCTAGAGAGCCTATGATCTATATGAAATATACAAATAAAAACCGTCCTATATGATCTAGCTTATGAAGAAATGCGCAGTATTTCTGTAGAGCTTAAAGCGACATATATCAAAGTTTATATAGTAAGAAATTAGTATAGTTGCATTTTTGGAGAGCTTCGAGATAATCGAATAGTACTTGTACAATTTATTTCCAGATATATATATATTCAAAAATTATTTTACCCACAACCTTTGAAAAATGATAAAATTGCCTTTGTATTAATAATCAAAAGAAATTTTAAGATGAACAAGTTGGATTCAGGATTTTGACTTCATTCACTTGTATAAACCGGGTTTGAGTCAAAATCCCGAGAACAGAGATTGATAAACAAAATCCCGAAAAAATTGACCGGAACTATAGCTGATTCAGAACTAACTTGTCGGGATTTTGATTCAAATCTTGCTGATTTTAATACATAAAAAAGTTTTAAGTTTTGCAAAAATCTTTAAAATATATATTGTTTTTTTTTTTTTTGGATTTCAAAATGGTCAAGGTACAGTAGCAACTATCAAACGACTAAGTGTTATCAGTGAAAAAGTAGAAACTGTTTCGTAACGTTAAGTGTCACACACAAATAATACTACTAAAAATACCACACTAAACTATAATATTGGAATGCTTTGGATCCGAGTAATTAGGACTTATGGCAATTAGACCTCAAGATCTCTAATTAGGTATCACGATATTGAATCATTAATTCTTAATAACTATTTATCAAGATCGCAAGGCATAAATCAGTTATACCTTGGGATGGTAAAAAAACGGTTTAAAACATTTTTTATATGTTTTTAATTGTTTTTAAAACATCGAATCTGATGTTAAAATTTAACTGAAGTTAAAATTATTGCATTTTGGCCGGTAAATTTTGGGTCCAGCATTAAGCGCTATATTCTTTAGATCGATTAAAAAACATTTTAAAACATTTTTAAACAATTAAAAATAAAACAATCATCAGTTCTAAAATCACGTTTTAAAACATTTGCCATCCCTAGTTATACCCATGGGCACTATGTGTATAAGCGGGAATTTCATCCCCACTTATACCCAACTGCCCAGGATATAACTATTACTTAACCCGAGGTTATCTGTTATCTTGCCGTGAGATAGTTGCCGTGAGTGATGTATTATGCCGTATAGCATTACTATCCTGAGAAAATTTCGCTGGCAATAAAATTTCAAGTAACACAAAAAATCAACAGTTTTTGTGCGAGATGGTTCACGCGCTTTACACAATCATAATCAATTTTCGTTTACCATCCAACTAAGTTGGATGAATATACATAACTAAATCCTTATTTTACCAATTTATTTAACATTAGAGATCGTATAAAAACCCACCTGTGCTAATCAATTGACCTGCACGTTATTTCGAAATAAGGGTAGATTTTCTAAATCCAATACAGTCAAATCTCTATAACTACATGTTTTTGGGTAAAGGTACATTTATAGAATATTCATTGTCGCAGCTGATGCTGAAATTTGGGGTCTCTATTTAAATCTATAATACCTACTAAAATCCACATATACTTTTTTATTAATAAAACTACCCTACTAACCCTAACCTAACTATGAAAAAAAAGTGTAAAAAAAAGGCCTGAAAATTTTTTATAATTTTATAATAAAATATGAAAAAATTTCAGCATCAGCTGCGACATTCATTATGGAGCATAATCTACATTTAACAATAATATTAAATAATTTAGAGTTTCAATTCGGATAAATCCGTCATCCGTTTATCCGTATCTAATTATCCGATAATCCGACAGGTATACGGATAATTATTCGATAATCAGTAATAATAAATTCAGATCCGGATATCTAATAGTTATCCGGATAAATGCTTAATAGATTGGAACTCTAAAATAATTACATTAGCGATCAAATTATGAACACTTATCATTATAGGAAAGTGCATGTGAAATGCACTTACAGAGAGTATGGAATGTCGATTGTATATCATTTATCGCACAATAAATTATGTGCTACATTAGGACTCGGGACGCCCATGAGCGCTAATGTCGAGAACATATAAATTCTTTTTGAAGGATCCCAATTATTAATATTCTTATTTTGTTTGTCGGGATCACCATGCTTTAAACATGTTGTCTTTTACTTTTGCTATGTTTAGGTTGTCATTTTAATCATCGTCAAATATTATATATATTTTTTATATTATCAAAAATTTATTGTATACTCACTGATAGAATAGAATAGTAATCTGAAGGGTATTAATTAACAGTGAATAAGTGTTTGTAAACAGGAATCAACTTTTTTAATCCATAGATCATACTCGCCCACTAAATTACAGTAATATTCATATGACATACAACACTTGTATACGGTATACGGCATTTATACAACATTCGGCACTTCTACTTATACGGCAAATATGCCATATCGCCATGATATTTTTGTTGGGGTAGCTACCTCCAAAAATAATTTTATGATAACTTTATTTCAGGAAAGAAACTCCCTCTTCATATAATTAACTTTACACATATAGTATAACAAGAATTATAATTATAATTATTATCTTTCAAATTTTTCTTCTCATTTCTTTATATCTATAATAGCTAGAATTAGCCAGGGATTTATGCTACGTATTCATCGCAGTACTTTTCATCCATTTTGCTAGAACTTCTAAGCAAGGGAATCCCTCATTCGAGAACTACATTTAACGAATGGCTTTACCAGAAAATCGGTCCGAATCACGTGAAATAATGCTATTAAGCATTATTACTGATTAAAAAATAGTATACGATCGGTGCAATTAAGCCATAACACGTTTTGTGAATTAATATTCAAGAGTATTACTTTTTAGTGAAATGTATAAATTAGACTATGTACACACGAAAAATCGACTACCCGTATTGTCGCGAAATAATACACATGGGCGTTATTTAGAATAGTGGCCCGAATTAAACATAAATTAGGTCAAAATTTGAAATACACCCCTGTGCGTTATTTCACGACATAGATAAAATTAATGTATCTGATAAAAATTGATTTAATAACAATTATTTAATCTCAATTTTTCTTCCAGATGGTTTAGTTTCATCCTTTGGAAGTTTCACCTCAAGAATACCATTTTCAAACTTAGCAGTGATATCATTAGTTTTAACGTTTCGAGGAAGGGAGATAGCACGAGTGAAACTTCCATAACGACGCTCTTGAATGTGGGTATCTCCTTCCTTATACTTTTCATCCTTTTTGGTTTCACCGGAAATAACAAACGTGTCTTCACGAACATCGACATTAACTTGTTCTTTGGTGACACCCTATTTAAATAAATTAGTTAAATATATACGTATAATCTATAACTACAAAAATGTAAACCATATAAAATATGGGGTACATACTGGTAATTCAGCATGGATAACAAATTCTTTTTCATTTTCAACAAAGTCAAGAGGTGGAAACCAATTATTACGATTAGTGCGAAATAGTGAATTTTCAAATTTATTATCGGGCCAATATAACGACATTTTGATAATAGTTTTTTGAAGTTATTAATTTTGATTTGTGTAGTTTATTGGCTTTTTAATTTTGTAATTTTAATATTCGATTTAAACTTGAATTTTGAAAAGGTCCAATAAGTGTGTATTTATATAAAACTTTGCAAACTTATCGTTGGCTGGCTCTTGTTCAAGAACTTCAATTTTTAAATTGAATAATACTGTGAGAAACGAATACTATGTATTTTAGGTTATGCTTCATATGAAAAGTAATAGATCAATGTGTTGGTTCCGTCGTTCTAGTACATAAGTACATACGTTCCAATTTGAATTTCTTACCGATTTGGGTTAATCTATATGTTTGTAGAAATTAAACAATTCCCAGGCATTCTATGAAATCCTTAAACATTTCCTTTTAAGATAAATTACCGCCTATTTATAAAATGTTGATCATACGATGTTTTTTTTGTCGTAATATTTTTCATAAATGAAGATGTCATTTTATGACAATAATTACATTATCATATCACACAAACAATAACATGTACATTTTTACTAATTTCGTTCAAAATGAAGCTTAATCGTCATCGGTTATGTTGCAGGCAATCTACGGAAAGCTCTTGGGACAGTTAAAATCACAAGAGTAGTTAGAGTTAGATAGTTAGGGAAAGTAGAGTTAGTGATTTTAATAATATCACCTGCATTTGCACTGTCCGTATCATGTTTATTTGTTTTTATTAACAACTGGGTCACATGAGAATGAGAAATATTGAACACGATTATGAGAATCACGCACTTCTACAATAAAAAATTGATGCTTATTTTCGAAATTTAATTAGTATATTCTTAAATTACGATAAGTATATGAATTCGCATTACTGCATTGGCAACTTATGGATATCGATTATACGGTACATAAATGCAAATTACGATATAATTCGCAAAATCGCATTTAAACATGTATGTGAGAATAATCTTCGTCGTTTTAAAATTACATGTAATGAATATTTAGTGTTATTGTATATCTTAAATGATTATCAGGCATATAACTGTGAATTCGCATTACTGCAGTTAAACACAAGTATCTGAGAATAAAATCTTTGATTTTTTAAAAAGAGTCTATACGGCAAGGCAATCGTAGAATCGACTTCGTGTAATCGATGATAGGATTCGGACGCGAAAGTGATGTGTTTGGATTCCTGTTACACATCACTCTCGATATAACTGACTTTTGATACAGTATAACGGAGACTAAGTAAAATAATGGATCAACCACATTACTTGATATAATTAAAACTCACGATAAAGTGTATTTTAAAAAATTCCTCACTATGTGTACGAGGTACTACGTTATATCGAGAGTGACGTGTAGTTTAAACTGTTTCAAGACTAATCAACTAGCAATACTTTTCTAGCTCAGCAATTCTCACTACATCGGGACGGGACTGTTTGTTATGCTTGGAGTATATTTACTATAACCACGACTAAGTACGTCGTATCAACAGAATCCGGGAACAGGGAACGAATGTTTTTTAGCGATGTATTATTTGATATGGCAAATTCACTTTTATTGCACTCAAATTGTACTTGCTTTTTATAGAAGTAAGATTTATATTATTTACATCTAAATTATAACTCCTATATCTTTTATAAATATTATCTTTACTACCGTATTTTCGCGGAATAACGCTCATGAGCAGTGTTATAAATTCAAAAAATTTTTATTCGCGCAAATGTAAAAAAATGTGCACAAAAAAAAAATTTATACGCGCGCTATATATACGGAGAGCGCTATTATACGCGCAAATTTAAATCTATGTACGCTGCGCCTACTGCGCGAACCCAATTTACATCACTGCTCATGAGCGTTATTTCGAGGTTTGGCCAGAATTAAGCTTAATTCGGGCCGAAATTCATAATTTTACCCCTGCGCGTTATTCCGCGACAATACGGTAGTACCAAAACTTGGCATTTAAATTTTGATTCACAAAACCTTTCCTTCGCTCATCCTCTTAAACAATTTTGCAAATACATAACTCATCACAGCTATATTGGACAACGAATTCTTTGTAAAATAATTATTTATGATAAAATAAATATATGACATATAAATAATAATAATAATAATTTAAATAGCTAGGAGATGGTAAGTGTTTATTCTGCGTATTAATTTTGTTTCTTATTTGCTGTAAGAGTTTCTACAGCATAATAATTTTGATATTGACAACGGCCTCGCTGAATAACCAACTTATTATAAAAAAAAATAATAAATGAGAGAGAACATGCTTGAGCAATCTCTTGATTACTCTATCATGCTAAATTTTAGCTAATCAGGGCAACTCTAAAAAAAAATTGATGGTCGTAGCTCGTTTTTGGCCTCACGATTAATTTTTTGACCAATCAAATCTTTCGGCAACTCATCGAGGGAACGGCTTTAAAGATGTGAATGCTTTTTATTTATATAATCACTTATATTATTAATTACATTTTAAACTACATACTACGTCATATACAAATGAATGCCGCAAAAGCTAAAGCCTGGAGTTGTTGATTTTCTGAAATTTCAATTTTAGAAATGGGCTTATAAGAATTTGATAAATCTGGATGTGAAATTTCCGAAAATCAAGAATCGCTTTGCGGAACTCAAATATGAATCAATATCCCTATTTAGCTTCTTGACATTCGTATCGCAAATTCAGTTTAAAATACCTATTTTTTTTCGAAATAATAATTTATTCTTAAGTTTGCATGTTTTTTCTACCATTTTTGCAAAGTTTAGAATACAAAAGAACTCAACGAACCGTACCTTACATAATTTGAATGAATTTTAACGGATTGCTATTATTTATGTAAATAATATTTGCTAAAATGTGTTAACTAATTAAAATTACAAAGACAAATCGAACACCTAATTTAAGACTTATGTAGAATACTTTACTAAAAAAATTATAAAAAATTTTATATTTTTATTTATACTTAGGTTTAAAGTAATTAATAAAATGTGAAATATCTCATGCAATAATTTTTTGGTAATCGTATAAATATACAGTATTTGCATGGTTACATACTCAATATCAAAACAAATTTTTTTAGAAGCAATTTCTTTTGCATTCGTGGATTGTTGGTCAACATAACTAATGAATTTGCTAGTATAAATCGAATTATTATCTAAACTATTAAAGATATAATTATTTTTAATCACCATTTCTTCTTCAGATTTTAAAAATTCCGTAAAAATTTCTGTACTATTTTTCCAATTTAAAATAGTTTGATGAATCTCTAGGGCCGATGGTCGTTTTTCAGGATCATCATCCCAACATTTCTCCAAAAGATTTGCATAGCATGATGCTGTACCTTTAATAATAGTTGGTCTCAATCCATTACAAATTTCAAATGTTAATTTTAATTTATCTTTATATTCTGAAAATACAATATTTCCTGAAGAAATTTCCCACATAATCATTCCAAAAGAATAAATATCTGATGCTTTGGTAAATGGCTTTCCTAGCAAAACTTCTGGCGCCAAATATGGTAAAGTTCCATAAATTCCCCTAGATTTTGTGTCTAATGCTTTATTAACAGATATTGCAAATCCTAAATCTCCGATATAAGCATTATATAAATCATTTTGAAATACATTGCCGCTATGTAAATCACAATGAATAATCTTATTCGAATGAATTTTTTGAAGATCGGATGCAATATAAGATAATAATTCTAATTTTTTCTCCCATTTCAGTTGTGCAACTTCATAAAGATTCTTACGCAAAGATCCCATTGGAGCATATTGCATAACTAATATATATTTATCTGTGCCTTCATCTTTTGATACACCATAGCATTGCAAAAACGTGGGGTTCTTAGTTCCAATATTTGAATATGCTATTAACTTTAAAAATATGAATATTAATGACTGAATATTAATATGTTCGGATTTACAACCATAGTCAAATATTTACCTCCTTTACAAGTTCTTCGCAGCTATTTTTTGACCCATGAAATAATTTAAGTGCAACAACTTGATTTAAAGTACTACCATCTGTTCTTATGTGTTTCCAGTTAGCGACATACACAGTTGCAAACCCTCCTTTCCCAATTTTTCCTCTAAATTAAACGCAATCCATGATATTAATAAATTGTTGTCAGATAATAATTTTTTTAAAGAATCATCAATATTTTCATAATCATCTGTAATTTGAAATTTATTATTTTTCGCTTTTTTCAGCCATTCAACAGCTTTTTGTTGGTTAGGTGACGTTCCAAAGCCATTCCTATAACATAATCCAGCTTCATATTGTCCACTGTAATAACCATTTTCTGCTGATATTAAATACCATTCAAATGTCTTTACATCATTTTTAATAGTACATGTGCCATTCCGATAACACAATGCGAGATTATATTGTGCAGTGGAATTACCTGCTCTAGCAGATTCAAGATACCACTTAAATGCCTTTTCTTCTTCATTGACCGTACCTATGCCATTTTGATAACAGCGTCCAAGCCTGATTTGTCCATTTGAATTGCCATTTTCAGCAGATTTCAGATACCACTCAAATGCCTTTTTTTCATCTTTGGCTGTGCCTATACCATTTTGATAACAGAGGCCAAGATTATCTTGCCCATACGAATTGTCGCCTTCTGCAGACTTCAGATACCACTCAAATGCCTTTTTCTCATTCTTAGTTGTGCCTACACCATTTTGATAGCAGAGGCCAACATTATTTTGTCCATTCGAATTGGCCTTCTTTTCATTTCTTGCTGTGCCTATGCCTTCGTCATAGCAAAATCCAACATTAATTTGTCCATCCAAATTGCCACCTTTAGCAGATTTCAAATACCATTTGAATGCTTTTTTTTTGTTCATGATTGTACCTATACCATTTTGATAGCAAAATCCAACTATGTTCTGTCCATCTAAGTTACCACCCTCAGCAGACTTTAGATACCACTCAAATGCTTTTTTTTCATCCCTGGTTATGCCTATGCTTTCGTCATAGCAAAACCCAACTTTAAATTGACCATTTGAA